TCAGTACTTAAAGGGGGCTTATGAAAAAGGTGGCGGCAAACTTTTTAGCAGGGCCTGTTGCGACAGGACAAGGGGGAATGGCTTTAAACTAAAGGGGGGTAGATTTAGACTAGACAGAAGGAAGACATTTTTTACGCTGAGGGTGGTGAAGCACTGACAGGGGTTGCCCAGAGAGGTGGTGGATGCCCCATCCCTGGAAACATTCAAGGTCAGGTTGGCCGGGGCTCTGAGCAACCTGATGTAGTTGAAGATGTCCCTGCTCATGACAGGGGGGCTGGACTAGATGACCTTTAGAGGTCCCTTCCAACCCAAACTATTCTATGATTCTATATAATCCAGGTTTACTTTCTTTCCTTCTCCCTAGCTTAGTGAGCGAGTCTTGCTGGTTTTGAGGTGAAAGTCAAGATTTTCAGATATTACAGAACTCCCAGAGTTTCATTTTAAGGAAATAAAAGCACTAAATATTGTGATGGTTGGCAAAATGCATGTAAACTGGGACATACAAATACAAGCTGATATATTGAATGTACAGAATAATACAAACATTTTAAAAACCTGAAATTAATTCCCTATGTCACTATGTTTGTATAATTCCACCCAAATAAATTGAATTTTACAGTGTAGCAGGATGGACAAACAGAACTTTATTAAAAATAGAGCATATGTACTCCTTAAGAGAAAAATATCAATCTACTGAACAATGAAAAAATATCAAAAAATCCCAAACCTCCTGTATAACATCTTAAGTTCTGTACACCAAAACATGCATTGAGTTTTGTATATTTACTCTTCACAAACTATATAGGCACTGAAGAACTGTAGTTTATATAATTCAGAGCATTAGAATGGTTTTGTGTTTTATTAGCGGTCTTACGTTATGTTATTAAATACAATAGCAGTCTTTACTGTATAAGAGCTTGAGTATGTACTACATGGTTATCTAGCAGGATGCTAGCTAAACAATTAAGTAAAAAATGAAAGGTTTTTCAGGATAATTTAAAAGTCTGTACAGAAGATGATACTTCTAGATACACAAGACACATTAAGCGCTTAGTGAATCAATTGCGTTAGTTGCTTTTTTGCCACAAAGGACTAGTAAATATAAAGTCTTGTGACTGGACTTAGAGTGGGGACTTCAGTTAGTCAACTAAGTGTTACCTCCACCTGCAATGAACTTTTCCCGTCCGCTATACCATTTACAGAGATACTTCATTGTGCAGATAATTAACTTCCACTTTTCAATACATAATTATATATAATCATGTATTCAATTGACCAAAAGAGCTCCCACTTATATGATCTATGGACTATACTTATTTTTCACCATCAACTCTGTTCTTCTTCTGCCAATTTGTAGTGCAAATTCTCCTAACTTTTATGGATTTCTGTTTGCACGCTGGTGCTCTCCATTTTCAAGAAAAGACTGATCACAAAATAAAGCTTTAACTTTGAAAAAAAGACAAGGAGGTCTACATTACTCTTTTAGTTTCCAGACCTGAAAGGCAGTGCTGCAAAACCACAGCTGAAATGAAAAAAATCAGGTTGTCTAAACTTTAAGAAGTCATCCAAACGAGTGGCTCTGTTTTTCCTCTCTGCTTCAGCGTGTTTTATTGATAGTAATCACAATGCTAGGACACAAATCCAAGTAGTAACCTTTGCAGAAGAGTAAAAACTCCTTCTTCTTGTTATGTTTTGCTGGATTTATTTTTAGCTGGGTCAGGTTTGTGATCCGCTCATCACAAAACTAGTGCCAGTACACAGGAGGCAGTGGAAGTAAACAGACACAGCTGAGAGAACTGGGAAGACAAATTATCACTTGAAAATTAGTTTTGAGGTAGTTAAGATGGACACTGCTTCCCAATAATTATCTCTTTCTTAAGAGTAATAAATGCAGCAAGAGCACAAATGCAATCAAGAGCACACAGTGGCAAAACCAGAGACTCAGAATGTAGAACGTTACACATACTCTGCTGTAATGTTACTAGTACCTTAGCTCTGATGCTCTAGGTATATGAGTGCAGGAAGGTTCAGGGAGAGAGATAACAACCCTTATTACAAACTACTGTAGCTGTATGGCAGCTGAAAACGGTATTTTGCGGCTCAAAGTTTGTCTATTTGTATCTATAGCATAATTTTAAAGCTTGATTTTCATTACAGTTCTGAAGTTATTTAATGTTTTCTGTCCATTACACCTACTGTTAGGCATCTCCGTTTTTCAGGTGCTCACCTTGAGATAAATTGTCCTTAATACTCCATCTGAAGTCAGTGCCAATGCGAACTGTGGGTTCTCCACACCCCTGAAAGGACTTGAGGGACCACACCATCATAAACAAGACAGGAAAATTAAGTACAAGCAAGTAACTAAGGAGGCACTTTTGGAAATGCTGACCTTCATTTCTTTGTGCCCAATTTCTGCCTTTTGTAAAAGAAATACTAACACATGTTTTGCCTTGGTATTATAAGAATTGATGTGTCATGCTTGTAAAACTGGATTGAGGCCCTCTAAAGAAAGACAGTACAAAATAAGAAATACTGTATTTAACATGAATTTACCAGATACCAATTTGTGAAAAATAACTGCAAAATGACACATGCATTATTATTTACTGGCATAATAATTTAACACATGCTAATACGTTGTGACAGTTTGGGGAATCTCTGTACACACAGCTTATGAATGGTGATTATTCTGGAGAATTCACTGCATATAAAATCATATACCCGTCCAACAGTAGCTGCAGAACATTCAGGAGTCATTGACTAGAAATAATCTTGCTCTAGCATTATGATAAAAGTACTGGGGAAGCTGAAGGAAACTGGAAGCAATGAGGGAGATAGCAGACTGAGGGGATTTTTTTTGATTGCAGTAGTGAAAGAAATTGTGGGGGTTTTGTTGCAGGGTACCCAGGAAAAAAAAAAAAAAAAAAAAAAAAAAAAAGAAGAGAGAGACTGAGAGAAGGATTTGAGGATCTCAGAAAGATTGTCCAAAACTTCAGTTGGTATCTGGAGTGATGATGGCACCAGAGAAGATGGCTTCTTTTTGCCTTTTGTATAAATAAAGCATGGTTTAGAAGTTACACTGCAAAACCATAGAGTTCCTTGCTGTAGTTGTCAGGGGTTGCTATGGGTTTAAAATGTCAAGCAGTGTACTCCTAAGAGTTCAGGAGAACCTACTGAGGACACTTTAGGAGATTAGTGTTGGTTTTATTCCTAGAGCCACGGAAGACAGGGGACAGAGGGCTTGCACTGTGGTAATGAATCTGAAGAGCTCATAGATGCTCCCTGGACTCTGATTAGGCTCAAGTTTAGAAAAGCACAGCATCAAATGTCTGAATCCCAAAACAGAAGTTTGGGATTTTTCTGGAGAAAGCTTGGCCAGAGCTGTGACACACAGAGACACACACACATATATGCAGGGTGGCATTCAGCGTCCTAAACGTGGGTGTCTACAGCCACTTGAGATGCCCCAGGGTTTTTTGGAGATCTCTGCACAGGGATGGCAAATACCATGCAGAACCTTCTGTGAGAGCAGCCAGGACACCCCAGAGCATCTCAGGTGGCACCAAGCAACTGTGTTTAGCTAACTGAACCCCAGCCCTCAATCTTCCTCTTTTTCAGAAGGAATATAATTCAATCACAGCATTTTATTTCAGACCATTCTTCAAGCCTTGCCAATGGGGGAGTGAAGGGGCAGAGCAGCCTCTATGAAGGCAGTGGTCGCAAAGCTGATCCTCATTCTTCTGCTGGGCACAGCCACGTCTGCTTCTCCCCTCTGAACAGACCAAACTGCTGTCCCCATGAAGGTAAGGTTTGTTTCATAATCCAAGTCACTGACTATTAGGAGGACACAGAGACATTTCCAACACATTTGAGGATTTGTAATATAAAGCCTAGTGTTTCTTAGTTAAAAAAAAAAAAGAGTACTGTCAACATCAAAAGAATATCATATATAATGTATAGTAAACAACTAAACTGTATATTTTTGGTGATAGGTTCAGGACAGAAGCTGAACAAGGTTAGGTTTTTCCCTGCCAAGGATCAAACTGTTTTTCTGTGTGTCAAATACTGTGCCTAAATAATCCCTGCCATCTAACAAGCTCCAAGAGCTTTTCAAATATTACCCTGCAAAGCCATCACAGTGTTTTCTACTATTTGCCACCAAAGAGCCACAGACATACCTGCTGACGTTTCTCTGAATTTGTCACTAGTCTTCTTCTTCCGCCATTTCCAAGGTTTAAAGATTTTGCCAATGGTGGAGAGTTTGCCCTTCCTCTTGAAGGGGGGAGTTTGGGATCCTGGGGCTGGTCCATCCGAGTTAGCGATTGAAGCCTTATCCAAACCATCAACTGTATAAACAAGAAAAGTAAAGGTAACTGAAGGATGGAAAACAAAATGGTACCCAACAGCTAAACTCCTCCACTATCAGATTGCAACAAGTTGTGTGTGGGTCCACGTGTTTTCTGTTCCAGAAGGCAGCCAAAGGACATTTGACTGCAGCCCGCAGTCACAAGCCAGTCCCCATGTCAGCTAGCCCTGGGCTTCACTGCTGCTCAGCGCCTCAGCTGCAGCAGGCCAGAACTTGCTTCTCACGACACGCATCTGGCACATCTGCACGTTTCTGCGGTTTTTCATCGCTACCAGAGAATTTCTTTCAACACATATTTGGGTGACTTTTTTCCCTATCTTTGGTAAAGCTGAATAACTAGCTGTCATACAGAAAATTAAACCCTTACAATGTAAAAACATAAACTATTTCTTTTGAGTAAAACGAATCCTTTCTTAAACAAGCTCTACAGATAACTGTTCTGGCAGTGGAATGAAAATAGGTCCATTTGATATCCCTGGTAATCAGTCATTCACAGCACAGCCTGCAGCGAGTGAGGCTTCTTATTAACAAAACATTAACAATAAGGTTTTGGGCTGTAGCCAAAATTTAACAAAGGATTACTTTTCTGCAAAAACATATTGAGTGATATGAAAGCCAATATTTATCATCGATGGCGGTAACATCGAGTTTTGTGAACCAAATTAAGACTCATTCCACAACATGCCGTAGCATACAGGTAAAATAAATTTCCCGGAAATTTCCCTGAGAAGTCTACTGTTATCTGTTTCTGTTTAAGAACTGAGGTTTCTTAGAGCCTTCCATTCGTGGTCCTGCAAACACTTCAAATGTGCTTAATTTTATTCACGTGAGCAGCTTCACTGAAGTAACTGCGATTACTTACGTACATAAAATTAATCACAGGCTTAAATGTTTGCGGCATAAGGGGTCTGTAATTGCTTTCATTCATCTAAACATTCTAATTATAACCAATTCAGAACAGAGTTGATGCCACTGTCAACAGTAATAATGATAATCACAGATCATTAAATCAGAAAGTGCTATTCAAAGAAGGAAATATCACTGTCCCCATTTTACAGATGGAAAATATGAAGCACAGAATTGTTAAGTGCTTAATTTTATGTTTGCCAAATGGCTTCCTGAATCCTGGTCCTGTGTCCTAGCTACTAAAAAGATACATATTCAGACACATAACATCATGGTGCAATCTTATTATTCTGTTTCTCAGACAAATGGCATTTAATGGGTCCTATATTTGTCCTAGACTTTAGATTGATCCAGGATGCTAAAAAAAAAAATCTTTTCTGTGAGAAAGCTGATGTAATGCAATCAGAGTCCAAGAAACTTTATTTCCAATGTTTTAAAATAAAGTACTGGGAAAAAAGATCCATTGTTTAACTTCATAGACTTCAATGAAGTTACAACCAGAGATAAATTTGTATGAAAATGATAGCATTTAAATCAATAAATCTGAGTGAGTTATGCCATGAAATGTAATAAATTCTGTACTGTCAGAGAGATGGAACAGAGAGATGGAAAATTTCTCCAGGATAAATTACTGTTATTCAGATGCATCACAATGTAAAGCTTTTATTTAAGTGTTCTCCTTGGGTACTTTCTGGAGGTAAGATGGAAAAAAGGCATGCAAAGGGGCTTTAAATGTAAAAAGCCAAGATTTTGCTACGGACTCGGATACGTCTACCCCTTGCACAAGTATAAAACCTCAGCTTCCTCACTTGTGCATCCTAGAGAACGTAACAGGACTATCTTTAGGGAGGTTTAAGCTGAGACTCCCTTAAAACGAACCAGCCGCCACTCTACAGACCCTGAGAAGATGGGTGAGAGGTGGGGATGAGAAGACCATCAAAGGCAGCGAGAAGCTCTGCAGAAAGAGAGAGGCATGGGACAGCAGAAGGACCTCTGCAGGGGTGCCTCACCTGGAATTAGGGGTCGCACTTTTGTCTAGGCTTACAGGCACTGCATATGTCGTACAACCCTATGGAATACAGAAGCCTCTGCTGGAAACTGTGGATCTAAGGGAGAAGTACATTTACTTGGAGGGCAGTTACAAAGATTAGAGGGCTAAATTTATCTTGGCAATTCCAGTTGAAGGGGCAAGGGCCACAGCCTGCGGCTGGGGAGTCAGCTTAGACATAAGGAAAACACTTCCAGGAGGTGGGTGGCACAGCACTGGAGCAGGTCTTGGGAGGTTCTGGAGGCTCAGCCAGGCAAGCCAGGGCTGACCTCACCTACTGTCAGCAACAGTCTTACTCTGAGTGAGGGACTGGACTGAGTGACCTCCCGAGGTCCCTCCCAATCAAGGTTCCCATGGTGCTAAGAGATGTGGAAAGACATGGTTGCTCTGTGAAATCTGTGCTGGTAAATCCAAAGAATCAGAAGGGTAGTGCTGAAGAAAAGAGACCAGGACCTGGTGGCTGAAGAGTTTTGTCCTGGGACAGGAGCCAAGCATTATCTCACCGGCAGAGGCAGTCCATCAGCTCATTAGAGGGAAAGGCTACCTGCTCCTTGGAGGCAGTGGGACAAAACCTATGTCCTTGCCTCCACCGGCTTAGAAAGGCTGGGTTATTGATGTGAAGAGCCTGCACCCTGGTGACAGACAGCACGATCTTTATAAACATTGATCTTTTCAAATCCTCCTGGGTCATGGAGTCCAGTCTATTGCAGGCAACCACTTTCACAAAAGCTTCATCCCAATTTTTTCCTCCAGTGCCTACCAGCAGGAACGGAGGAGGATTATGGCTCCAACAGCTCCCCACAGAGAAACATGGATTTGCATCTGTCCCTGCTCTGCCCTCTGCTGAAAATATTTAACTCTGAAATAATGATATTCATCCTAGCCAAAGAAATCTGCCTGCTTCAAATGAGCTAACATATGGAAAAAGGGATCCATTTAGTGGCGAAGAATTCTGTTCAGGAAGACTGCAACTTTTGAAAACAGGATTCAACATTAACTCCGTCTGACAATAAAAGATGAGGAGCTGATTTACCAAGTGAGTTCAACAAGCGCTCATAACTGGGAATTTACTAAACCATTGACCTTATATCAGTTCCTTCATTTGGAAAAAAGGACCCAAATATGTATCTGGAAAGGAGGAATAAGCATGGCCAAACATCATAGATTGATTTCAGAAATAATCTAAGATAAAGTAACATTTCTAGGAAAAAGGACTTGTTTATATTCAAAAGCAATCATAAGGTAGCACATTTTACCAATTAATAAACTGCCTAGAAAAAAAACCTATTTCAGCAATGATGTTCCAGAGCATTTATGGAAAGATCTTTTCAAAAGCTATTACTCCTCATGTTTGAAACACTCAGCAGGAAATTGATGTTTAAGATTTACACTCTTTGCTTTATAGGTCATGTACTATTTAAGAATAAAGCGGTATATTTTTCACCTCAGAGAGCTTATGTACCTTCTATTAATCATTATAAATGTTATACGTATTCAGTGAGATGAAAGGAAACAGCTTAGCTTAGATGGAGAGAGCAAGATTAGAGGAGCTTGGTCACTTGTGTTATTCTTTTATTTGTACGGTGTCTTGAAGTCCTGCCTTCTTCCCACCATCTTCAAACAGCCAGTGAGTCACTTCATTGCCTTCAATGAACATCATTATTAAGTTTGACATTAGGACTTTTGACTATACTACCTGCATAGTTTATGTTGTTATATTCCAGTCCTTTGCCCTAGGTGTAGATTTTACATCTGAAGGATAAAAAGTGTACATAAGAAGGATAAGGAGTAAGTATATGAACCATGCATGCTGATGTCATGTGAAGAGATCTTCTTGTAAAAGACCACCACCAACGCTAACTGAGACACTGTGAAGCCAAGTTATGCTGGCACAGGCCACGAGCTACATGAAGGATAGAAAAAGGACAGCCTCTCCCCGAGCTTGTGGGCAGCCAGCAAAGATTAGATCAGTTTATGGATGACCCCAACTTTCCTATAAGCACCCAAAGATGGAAATGCCTGAGCACGTCTTATACTAGGAAGGCTACTTGCAATAAGCAACGCTGATCTCTGTAGCTGCCTAGGAGACACTTTTCTGCTGTGAATGATCTCTAGAGATGTTGTGCGGCTGAAGCAGGCGTGCGAATTCATCACAGTTTTCCCAGGGCACAGTACACTTCAGCACTGAGACGTACATGTCAGCACTGACACACACTAACACTTTCTTCAGTTAAGAACTTACAACTAACTTTGCAAAAGCAAAATGCAACAAAAAACTATCCATCAGATCATTTCAAGCAAGCCTAATATAAATTCCTCTGAAGTAAATAGCTGTGATTCTGCTCGTTCCAGGCCTTTCGATCTGGAATGCAGTAAGACCATTTTTTAAAGGCTTTGACTTCATGATGAGAAAAAGAGGGCTACATTTATGCCATAAGCTGTTCTGTATTTTTACTTCTGTGTATTTTTACTCTTGGCAGTGAAAGTGGAAAGCCAGTAGAAGAACCTAACCTCACGACTGAATACTAGGAGTAATACAAGATATATGGGAAAAAACCCTACACCATGATGTCCTTATGCTATTCTTTTTCTAGTAGAACCATATTTTAATAGTTAACAGATCAAAATCCCTTGCTTGTAGTTTACTACTAGTAATTTGAGTCACTGATGATTTAAAAAAGGTCAAACCTGAGTAATTAAGTAGCTAGCTACAGTAGGAGTATACTCAAAAGATTTTTCTGTAGAAGAATCCTTTACTGAATCTGAATAGTTTTAAGATTCTTTCTCACGTTAGTCCACATTCACATTTAGTCCCAAAGAGAAAGAGTTTATTAGATAGACGTTGTTGTAATCTAGTAGGGAATGTCTTATAAAATTGCTGTTTAATAATTCTTATCTGAATGGTGTTTTAAACAGAGTTTTGTGTTGTGTGGCCAACAACAACACATGATATGAAAAACATGAATCATTTTAATTTAGCCTTATGGAGTCTCCAAGCTGATAACAAGTACACTGGAATCAATGCTAATAAGTGAAATTTAATGAGTTTATTCTTGTCATGAAGATTCTTGAGATCCTGGAGTAAAAAGCACTTAGGGTGACATCCAAGAAAAGAAATAAGGCAGAATTTAGGTGCGTATGTCAAAAGTTGTGCTGCTGGGAGCCTGAGAAACTCTGATCAGATGCTCCCTGACTCTGAAGGTACAGATGCCGTAATTCATGACATTAAAACTATCTGAAATCTCTGCTTCTCTATAAGTAAAACAACATCCCAGACTGGAGGCCATCACAGCTGCCATCACAGCAGAGTGGCTTTGGTGATGAAGTCAGCCTGGGAAGTTTCTTCTCTGCACTTCCATCCGCTCATTCCTGACCCTAAAAAAATATGCCATCCCTTCAGTTGTAAAAATACAACTGTTCATTGGGCTTTATCGCAAATACATCTCTGAATGATCCCAACCAAAAATGCCTCCCCCTTTCCGCCCTCTTTCCTTTTTTAAAAGGTTATTTTTAATCACTTCAGTGATTTAGTCTTCAGCACAATCCTACAAACACTTGAAGTGTCAGGGCTGGGCGAGGAGCGGGCTGTGGTATGGGGCGGGAGCCGGCGACTGGGCCGGACGGGCAGCCTAAATCAGCCTCACAGCTCCAGCCAGGATACCAGCACGCTCCAGCCACAAACCTGACAGCGCTACACAGCCTGGCACGTGCCACGTGCCTGAACCTGGGTAAGTCCACAAAATAAGCCTGCTTTTGCCTCGAGCATTCACAGGGTAGGTGGAAGACTTGGCTTCCTCCCCCTTCCCGACCAAATAGCGTTGAAATCTACTATCCTTCGCTTCCCAAAGAAGAACACCCTAACCAGGAGTGGGAGTCATGGTCCTCTGCAGAATGCAGTTTTGGGGCCATCCAGCCACAAGCAAGAGAGAGAACACCAGGAAGAATGTGATGCTGTACTCGGGTAGCTAAGTTCACTCATTTACAAAGATATGGGAATTCATATACATCATGGGTGATGCAATGTATATGGGCCTTCTGCAAGAAAAACAGTCGCTGTACTTTAGGTGAGAATGTACAATATCACTTGAATCTTTCTCATACTAAAAAAAAAAAAAGTATTACAGGATGGCAATGCTATTAAACCTTCCGAATGAGTAGTCAGAAGCATTTTTTCTTTCCTCTGTCCCTCTACTCCCCTCACCAGCACCATTCTCCACAACTGATTTAATCTTGCTGGAGCACTGGGATATATATTTAAGGGATTCTTTCTCACATCGGGGCTGCTAAGTACAAGACGGTACTGGCAGAGTGGCAAGTTCTCTTCTTTCCCCACCCCTCTGGGTGCCGCACCTTTCCTATTGCAATCCCTTCTCCCACCCACTTGCCTCTCAAGACTCACCCACCTGCACTGCAGTTCTGCCCTGGATCCTTGTCAAGAAAAGCAAGGTGCAGAGTGGCCAGACGAAGGAACCATCTGCCTCCAGCCTCTCCTCCTCCCCACTGCTGGGGAACATGACCAAGAGGGGAAAAGGCATGGAACCAAGTGCTCCACCGATATCGAGGTACTAAGGTAGTATTGGCATCCAATACTTTCACCAGCATTGGGTATCTTGCAGTATTACCATGGTATCATTACATCACCCTTAAAATACGTGATAACATTTTTGTTGTAGTACAGGTGACTCAGGGCATTGCCACATCTAACCATAAATGAACTAAGAAACACAACAGAAGATGCAATGGCTTCAGTTCAAAGCTACCTTATGTGTGGATTTGGGTCTGAATTATTTCTATGCTTATTAACTACCGGTTAGCTAGTACAGATATTTTTTGTCTTCCTCTCACTGCACCCCTGCCCTGCAGGGATGTGCTGCAAAAGTCAACTTGGTTTATTAAGACCTCAAAACCTCTTCTGACAGTGTTATGATTTTCTATACAGTCTTGCCAAAGGGCACAGAGTTGGAAGTAATGGTTTTTATGCCAGCAAAATCAACATGTTTATACAGCTGCATATTATCCCCCTTTAGTGACAAGAACAATAACTCATCGACTTGCTATAGAGTATGGTAAGCTGCTTATTCCTGGAGCTTACTGGAAAAAAATCAAGACACTGCATGGTAAAATGTTTGACGTGGTCATTAAAAACCAGAAGTCATTCTGACACTATCAATGTCATTTTCAAGAAATCTCTCAAATTCTGTAATGTTATATTGATTTTTCCCAACCAGAACCAGATGGAAAGACAGGCCTTTTTTCTTTCTCCCTTCTATTTTCTACTTGGAAGGGAAAAAAATGCAACTAATCCCCACTGGATAAACTGACAAATGGGAGACCTATAATCTACCTCCAAGCAGCACAATGAATTGGCATCTGAATGCTTTCGCCTTGCCATACATCTGGAGTTTAACTTTGGGGAAACTCTGTCATGAGCTAATTGATTTGATTGTGTTTTAATTAAATGAAAGGAAAAAGCTGAAGTTCAGATGTAGGCGGCTGAATGGTAGTTTCCATATGGAACTGCCAATATCGCAAAATGTTAATTGGACCTCCTGCTGGCGATGAGCTAAACAGGCTGGGTAGCGGCTACTTCAGAGGGATGCTGGCTGCTGCCTTGAAACAGCCAGAGGGGATCCTCCTGGGATAACCACGGCAGGAATGGATACGACTGCCTGAATGCCTCCAGGTTTTTACAAGGATACACGTACAAACACCTTTCGAGTTGTCGGAGTCACACATGGACTGGCAGTGCCAAAGTCCAGAAAGGGCTTCAGGAGGCTGAACCCTGTAACACCCACCTCGCCACAAGCAAAACATTACCTCGCTGCAGAAAGTCAAACACTGCAAGGGGTGGAAAATTCAGCTTTGTTACACCTGGAGACAAAAGGCCATACTCCGTTCTGCCCGTGATCAATCCCTGCCTAAGCTCTGCAAAAAGCACAGGTGCTGCTACACAGGTACTTACAAGGGAAGGAGTGGAGCCTACGCTCCCCCTGAAAGCGATAGCATAGATGCCCAGGATTCCACATTTCAGACAAAAAGCCGCGTGGCTCAGAGGGATGCCCAGCCACACTGTCCTCTTCTATAGTGCGCAGAAGAGGAACATGAGCAAAGTCCCAAGCAATGGTGCTGCCTCCCACATGCATTTATTTTAGTTCTCACTCTCTCACCTGTACACCTGGGATTAACTTGCTCAGAGCCTGGAACAGCTTGTTTAGCTATCTGTCTCTTAGGTAGGAAGCCCTTGCCCCGCAAGACACCGGTCCCCAACAAGCAAGGAGGGGACTTTACCTTGGCTTCCTACTACCTTACACAAGAAACAGTAAATAAAACAGTGTTAACTTTAGGGCTTGAGCCGTGCTTGCTGCTTCACTGGAGTATAGTACAAAGGACCTCTTTGCTTTAGAGTTACCTTAAGTGTTGCTCTTTTTTTTTTTTTTTCTGGTCACAATAATCACATCAACTTCAGTGCTGTTGGTTGTTTTGTCAAGATACAGACTATCACATTATCACACTAGTTACCACAAGTTGTCTCTCGCTAATGCAACTCAAATGCAGATAACGCACTTGTAACGTGCAGCTTCACAGTTACTTCACGGTATAGTTTTCACTCCCATTGGGTTAATTCTACAGAAAAAAAGCAAAGTTATGGTTGTAGGGCACTCTGTAGAGACACTGGAAATACCACAAGCAATACAGCTAGTCAGGGCTACCCAGCCTGACTAAATTACACCTCTCATGCAGGAATCTGTGCAGAGCTCGTCTGCTACATCTGCACTGGCATGTCAGCTGGGGGAGGTTCTACAGCGCATTAAGCACTGCAGTTATACCTCTACAGTCACACCACCTCGATTCTCACCTGTTTCTTGTGTCAAAACACACTACGATTTGCTTAAGGTCTGAATAAAAATAAGGACCTGACCTTATGCTTGCAATATGCCCACAAGCATGTGTTTGCAAATTGATTATTTACATTTTGGCATCATGCAGTCCTTATTAGAACACCTGCACTACTTCCTCCTCTTCAACCAAATGTTTAACTTCCATCCTTTTGGCTTCCTAAGAAAGGAATAAGCGAATACTCAGCAATCCCATTATACAGATTTGGAAGTGATCCGGCCAAAAATCTTCTTGCTACCTCCTCTCTGACCCGAACACAGCTGGCTCTGACCAGAAGGAAAAGGATCATAGGTTTAATGCAGGCTGCTTATTCCTTTTTTCTCAACCCCAATACTTGAGTGAAAAGCAGCAAATGGAAAATTTCCAGACAGTTACATTTTCCAGATATATGAAACATCAGGTCAAAGGTCAAATTCTGGATCCAAGCAACTTCTCCACAAAAACAGGGGGAAAAAAAATCCAGGCACAGTAACAGAGATGTGGGAGGACAGAAAAAAACAACAACTAAAAGCAGTGTACATAAAAGAGTAAACAAACTACTTTGAACAGCTGAGGATTGAAAATTAATGCTTCTTGTGTCAGAATATTAAGGGATAAATCCTTACAATGATATAGATTTCTATTTATAGTTTAAAATTTTTTTTGGATAATTTTGTAATTCCTCCTAAAAGGAAGCTGCACATACTCATCTTGTTAAATTCTGTAATGATATTTTTAAAATGTCACATCCGAAAACCAGAACTACAGAACTGGAATTATTTCCTTACTGACTTTTCTTGGTATAGCCTTAATACGGGGGAGAAAAATAACTATAATAAGTTTACAACCAATATTTTTAGCTACAGGCAAGCGGTAAAACTTCCCAGCAGATAGTGACTAGAAGTATGAAAATAAACTGAAGCGAGTACGTGGCCCCTCTCCTGTGTGGTAATAAACAGCAATTAAAAGAAAACAATTTTGTAGTAATTAATAGGTATGTAACACTGATGCTGAGATAAAAACGGGCCAAGCATGTCACAGGGAAGCCTTTGGCCCTGTTCCCACTTCTCCAGCTAGCGGTTTCCACTTCTCCAGCTAGCGGCAAAGTTACTCTCCATCTGCCCCGAACGGGCCAGGAGCCCTTGGATGCCCTGTCTGAGCAGCAGCGGTGCCCGCTGAGGAAAGGGAAGGTGGGGGAAGGTTCCTGGTGCTGGCTCGTCCTGACAAGAGAGCCGAGGCGATAGGTACGCCATGTCACTGCCCTACTGGAACGTCCCATCCCCAGCGTTCCCAGGAACCTGACAATACGAGAAACACAGTCCACAGGAATTTGGGGAAAGGGAAACTGAAAGATGCAAGGTGAATGCAAACCTTGTCGTCTAGTGCAAACTCCGCTGAGCAGACCCCATACCGTCAGGCTGCTAACTCCCCAGGCAGGTCTAGATGCTTACCTACAACTCCTCTTAGGAGCCCGTTTGCCTTCAGAGAGTGAACCAGCACACTGGTTCTCAGTTCTCAGATGGCCCTTGCTACTTCCTATCTGAGCTGAGTCAAAAACCTAGCAAAAAGGTCAAAGCACGGCCAAAGTTACTCTGTGCTGCTTCTAGCTCCTCTCCTCTCCATACCTACGCAAACACAAGCTTGGGGATGCTTCAGATCTCAGCTGGCTCTTTCCTCTGGAGGCACGCATCATCCTGAGGGAGGGTTCTACTCCGCTAACAACTCGCCTACCCTGTAGCACCGGCTAAAGAACCCAGCTGCTGATCCCTCTCTGACGCCTTTTGGCTGTTCCCTCGGTGCACCTGGAAAGACACCGAGGCGTTTCCCCGCAGCTCGCTGGATACGTCCCCAGAAGCCATCGCCGCTGTCGCTGGAGGCAGCACACAGGTATGGCTTCATAGAGATGCTGCCCACACGAGCAGGTTCCTGGTCATCTCAGCCTCTGTTTTCACACCACCACGACGGAAACATCAGCTGAACCACCAACTGTGCTGGTGACCATTTGTGAAGCTGCACTTTGTCACTGCACTGAGCCAGAAGAAAAATAACCTTTTGCCTAGGCTTTTAAAACCGAGTCAGTTCCTACTACTGACACAGGAGGGTCAGGCAAATAGTTTTGCTGACCAGGCTGAGCTGGGTGGTGTTCCGTGGAGCTGGGGCAGGAACAGAACAGGAGGGGATGGGGGAGAAGCTTGGGAAGAGATGGAAGACTTCTGCCACAAAGTCAGTACCTGATCTCACTGCCAGCGGGTGTGAGAGCTGCTCCTCACGGCAGCACACCCCAACCCCTTCACCACATCCAATGCTGAAGCAATGACCGCCTGAAGTGCTAACACCGTTAGCTATTTTCCTCTTCCATATGAAGGAAGCTGGGGAAGGAGGTACACATCTTTCTTCCCCATCCCACCCCATCCCATTCCATCCCACCCCAACTCATGCCAGACCACCCAGCACCCTTGCTAAATACAATTCTGTATGAACATTACACATGTGCTTTTCCCTTTATTATTGGTACCTTTAACCAAATCTTTCACAACTAACATGTTTATACATCTGAGAGCAGGTATGGTTTTGTGGGCTCCCATCCCAACGCTTCCTCGCACTTAAGTACTATAACAAGGAGCTCTTGATCTACAAATAACAGAACATTTATGTACAAAAAACCTTACGAGCAATTTGATCAGTCGTGTAATTAAATCCCCCGTACGGGACAGCCCAGAGCTCGCTGTGCTGCCCTTTAAAAGCGACATTTTCTTTTAGACTGGCACCACTTCAACACCTTTTTTCTAGTACAGGAAACAGCATACTGCACTTGTCCAAATGTGTGTAAGTCAAACCCGAAGCAAATAGTTTCTTTTTGCAACCCCGCTGGCCTCAGAATCCCGCCGGTAGGTCAAGGACACTTTTAAATCCAACCAGCAAATTTCTGAGTGTTGCTGTCATTGCAAATGTTTGTACAAGCTATTAGCTCTGCAGTCTTTGTAGAGAAAACTGTGTGTATTTTTAAGTTCAGTTTTTAGCTGCCTTTAAAATGTTTGCTTTGTTGCTAGATACCAGCTTGGATAAACAATAATAATAAAACTCCAACATGCTCAGAAGAAAGTATTAATGATTAAACACAGTTCCTCTCAGTCAAAACACCAATTTATCAACTCTAAAACCACAGCCTGTAAAAATTGTTCATATCACTCTGTACCTATAATATCACAACTCTGAATGCAGTCTAAGTCATCTCCTTCGCTATGAGGAAATGGGAGTTGCCAAGTTGCAGCTGACTTTTATTCCGCATCATGTTTCATTACTCTCTTCATCCCCAGCTGCACAGCAAACAGCTGTTTTATTCCCTGTATCTTGTTCTTTATTAGGCCCAGGGAGGGGAAAACCGGACACAAGCTGACATATTTGTCAGCCCAGCTGCTCTTCCTTTGCCAGTTTAAACTCAGACGCTCAGGGGCATGTTCATGTAAAAGGACAGGTCTGTGTGCAATTTGTGATGAGATTCAGTTATACTTTAAAAAATAGCGTGTTCCCTTTCCTACACAATAAAAAATAGTAATTCCATCAAGCAAGCTGGTGGCACCGTAAATCACTACAGCAAAACCAGTGGAATTATAGTACTATCTTTATGCAGATTTGAAGGCTGTATTCAAACACATTTTGGACTTCAACTTTTCCACGGAATCAGTGTTTACAGAAGCGATGCACAGATAATCAAAAAGCTTTGGTTGGAACAAACTGCAAATGAGAAAGCTGCTCCCCTTTGGCTCAGTGCACTGGGATGCCGTGCAGGGAGAGCACGCTCTTTGCAGTGCGCCCCGGGGGTGCAGACACTCACGGAGGTGGGGCTGGAAACCAGGATCCCACTTCCCTGTGGGAGAGCCGGCAGCACTCTCCTTTTAGGGCCAGGCACCAGTCCAGGACTAACGCAACGTTACTCAAAGCTAGTCCAAAGCTAGACTCAAAGCGTCAGCTCCTCCTGGAAGGGAAAAGGGCTAAAGAAAAGGGCTTGGTGAGGCCTTGGATGGGGAGACATTGTCTTGTTGTCAGAGAAGGCACTGAGAATATCTGCTCTTCCAGCAGATTCTTCCTTTAGGGGAAAACAACTACTCTGTAAGAGCATCATCAAGACGGCAGATACATAATTGATACCTTCATTTCCCCACTTGCTTGTCTCATGCTGTATGTGAGGTCCCCACTCCTCCTCCGCTCTCTGTTAATAATGAATGACTGTATTATTGCAGTGCTTAAGAGGGCTGGTCATAGATCAGGACCTCTTTGTGACAAGAGCTGTACAAACAAAAACCATAAAGACCATTCTTGCTCCAGCTCTAAGTATAAAACGAAAGAGAACAGCTTGAACAACAGATTTCTGATTTTTCATTGTCACCTGGTCAGCTGTTGCATCTGTAAGAGTTTTTAGCTATCCAAAGGTCCATATGATTTTGTTAGCAGCACGTCCTTTTCTAACACCTCTCTCATTCAGACATTGGCATTGAGCAATCATAAAATATATCTTTGGCATCCGTAGGTTAAAATAAAATGCCAACTTGAACTTCTATGTGCCAGTTTAAACTGAACTGTTTTAGCTGGAGCTGGATGAGCATCTCTCGAGTCTGAAAGCAACTTCCCACAGAAGAAATACCAGACCCCATCTTCCCCCCGCCAATGCATTTCAGCACTATACTATCACAGAGCCTAACAACATTCATCCAGTACTTAGCTTCCACACGCACCGTTAGTTAGAGTTCCAAACGGTGCCAGTGGTGATGCCCGTTTGCCTGGTGGGGGGATATCTGAGCCCACCCAACTACGTCAGCACGCACCACTGCACTGCCGTCTGGGAACACATCTCCTTTCCTCTCCTTTTCCTACTGAGCCAGGCGCAGTTAGGAGTTAGCAGTCATTGTAGCCCAATGAGAAATTTTAAGTCTTCTAGTTACCATTAAGATGCATTCAAGCTTGTCCTGAATCAGATAATATGTTGATTTATTTACTTTGTACAAAACCCTATACAGACATGAAGAATAGTTTAGCCTACTTTAGCCAGAGTAATGCTGACAGAGGTCACTCCCACTGTATGGAATGACACACTTCACATTTTCTTAAAGACTCTCTTTTAACCCTAAAAAAACCCAGTTTTCCTTAAAAAGATTTTTTTTTAATTATTATTTATTACTGCAGAGGTAAACCAGGCTAAATGACCCTTGAGTAATTACAAGCCAGAATACAAATGAAAACACCAAAATGGTTTACTTTAAAAATTGAATGAAATTGAAGCCATTCTCATAATTATCAGAATTTCATAAATTTTATGATTACTCAAATTCTGTGGTATCTTTGTGAGTGCCATGACCGTGCTGATACAGATGAACTGAACACAAAAGCTGTGTTTAGCCGTGTGCTTAAAAGTGTCATAGTAAGAACTTGATTAAAAAAAAAAAGGTAGTGCAAAAAGCCCAAATATGACTGGCAAGCCCTGCACCTATTGCTAGCAACTCCAAGCAGCACTGGAAATACAAAATCCTCCCAAGTATGTACAGCATCAGGGTTCACCAAATTCATCTTTGCCTTTATTTAAGCTCTGTAAAGTTTTCTTTTTTAAACTACTACCAAATGTTTTTCTAGAGAGGGAACATTATGCGATGGAGCACTCGCCTGTTTCCAGAGGTCCCTGGGAAAGTGAGCCACCCCTTAGGAAAGCCTACAGGAATAATTCAGAAATTCTTGCTGGCAGTTTTTGCCTGTCCCGACTGTTTCTCGTTCTCTCATCCTGGGCTTTCTGCAACTCACCCAGCAGCTGATGCACCCAACAAGGGAGAGAAAGGGCTACTTATCCACTCATTTAATAACGAATCGATACATGGATAGAGTCTCCCACAAAGAAACAAGCGAACGCTGAGTTTCCACTGGTGGTCTTTCCATGGGGGTCTTTCTCCAAGGGTTTGCCCAGAGGCAGGCAGCCTGTCCCAGCAGCCAGGGCTCGCTTGGGTCCCTGCTCAGCAGCCCCCCAAACAGCATCACTGCGGGGACCCAAGGAGGGAAAGGAAAGCAGAGAGCCCGCGGATGATGGATGCTCTTGCCCCCGCACCGGCAGGCTGCAGTTCTGGGCTGGCAACCAGGGGTCGAACCTAGTCCCCGTGCACTTCTACAAGGCACGACATCTTCGCAGTCACCCTCCGAGTGCCGCTCCAACTGCATGGTTTGAAGCCTGTTCAGCTCCAACCTTGACCGAAGAAGCAGAGGGCCCTCCTGCAGCCCCCAGCAATTTACCTCCCTCAGAAAATACCTCCTGGAAAATTCTCTTTGCCATGTTGAACAAAGCTGCTGCGTAACTCCATCTCCAGCAAAAACCCACTTTGTATAAGAGCAGGTTTTGGAATAGAAAGAAGTTAATTATTACTCTTTAGAAGAGTGCCTTCAAGCAGCTTACAAACAAATGATGGCAACTTTCCCGAGCTTAGGGGAGTGGTTATGACATTTTGGAAATGAAAAGAAGCAATAAAGAGTTCAGTCACTTTTCTTGCCTTGAAAAAGGTTTATAATTTCCCCTAAACCTCCCTTCCATTCTCGCGAACATTCAAGTACTCAGCACACATATTCAACATTCTTAGACCCTGCACTCACTTTTCACCCTAGCTGGATGCCGAGCTCCAGGAGGGAGCATTTTCACCCCAGGAGGGACCCAAAGAGGGACCGGCGCATCACACCACGCAGCTCCTGCCCCGCGCAGGCACTGCCCGCACGTGGCAGCCGCTGAACCGACAGCAGCCCGACACAGCGGGCCTGTCTTCTCCCTTACACGCAGAAGGTACAGAAGGACATCGCTGGCTAGTCATACTGAACACGCGGTGCTCACACGAGATAAGGTATTTCAGGGAAAAACATGA